CTCCTGAGTAATTTCCATCTTCCTTGTGAAGTTCACTTTCACTATTCTTATCATTATCTTTATTGGTACCAGAGTCTGCATATGATGCTRTTGTTTTGTTTCTATTCAYGTTGTTAYCATTGGTTTCTTCAAGAACTTTCAGCATTGCATCAATTACATCCATGTCTGTGCTTCTCTCKTCATTRHCWTCTTCAGTTTCAATGTCTAAGTYATCTCCAACAGCAAKTAAAACACYTTGTTCTTGCAGTGGAGATGTTTCTATGTGACTWATATCTTGGTTTGAAGTAYTGACGTACATGGAAGTACAACCATTTTCACAGCCATCATCGTCTGTCTGTACACCAATAGAACTAACCTCTTTGTARATAACTGGCTCACCTAACATTGCAGTGTCATCTTTTTTTGAAGACTAAAGTGAGACAATATATTCAATATTAGAAAGATAAAGACATTTAGGATAGCCTTGGGGATCATATAAATTATCAAGTTAAGAGAATCAAATTATTTCACTTTTTAGCTGTCAATACCTATTAAAAGATTTCAATTTGTGATTGTTTTTAAATAAGTTAAGTGAAGTTTGTTTTATAATCTTCTAGATACATATTGTCATCCTGTATAATACCTAGTAAAAGTACACGTCTATTCAAAGTCAATTGAATACGGTACGTACTAGGCCGAGACGAAGTTAGCCTGAGTATCAGGCTCTCTCGAAGGGGTTTGGGGCGGAGCGAGAAAGGAGAGAGAGCCTGACACAATCTTCTATGAAGAGCCGTGTTCGGCGGCCGTTTCATGGCCGAAACGCTGATTGGTCTAGAGGACAAAGGAAGTGACAGGAATTAAAATATATATAATTATTATGTTACCGAACGACGCTATGACTCTTGATATAAGTGAATAACAGTTTGGGAAAGCTTTAATAGTACCTTGGTTGTATTTTATTCTATTGTTTACTACGTTATCAAGCCGTTCTTGAATCGGTTTGTTTTACGCGTACAAAAACAAACCGATTAACGGAAACGTCTCATATAACACTAACATTACACCGACCTATAACGGAGTAAAACAATTCAAGATTATAGTGATCAATCCTCTAGAGCTTATTAGACGTCCACAAGTTGAGAATCTGGTACTGAAAATCGGCATAAAAGCTGCGACTTTTCAAATAAATTTTGACATATAACCGYCACATCGAGAAATCAAGCAAACCGGAACAGCTTTTAATTGGCTTAAATTTATTGTCACGCGTCACGCATTGCAAGGAGGCGGAACGGCTCTCGATAGAAGATTGTGTCAGGCTCTCTCTCCTTTTTCGCTCCGCCCCAAACCCCTTCGAGAGAGCCTGATACTCAGGCTAAACAAATCAGAAAACCTTCAGCTTTTGCAGCTTCTTTCAATGAATCAAACTTACCTTCTAATTCCTTTGTAGTGATACTTTTTCACTTCATCTTCTATTTGTAGAGCCAGCTCACGTGTGGGGGATAGCACCAACACAGAAGGGCCTTCCCTTTTGTCACGAGGTCTAATAAACAATCAAACTGAATTTTACTGATCAATGTCTATCTGCACAGTCCTGTTATATACATGTACATGGTATAATGTTATTGATAGAGAATGGAGTTAGAATGTAGGTGAAACATGTTTTGCACATGAAAAAAAAAACGAAGTCAAAGGCAATTATCCCACAAAACTCACACATCTTGTCCATCAATATGAAGGAATGCAGGAAGTAAGAATGCCAAGGTTTTGCCAGTACCTGTCTGAAATAAATGCCAATAAATGACAGTGTTAATGTTGTTCATTTACAAGACATACATAAAAATTTTCAAGTAAATGTTCTCTGAGAATCTTTAATAGCACAATACCTAGCCATCTTGTAGAATCTAATCAGGTTTAATT